ATTTTGGGTTTTAGGTTTAGGGGGTTTCAAGTTTATTCGGGGTTTAAGGATGTAGAGCTGGTGGGTCTAGGGGCGTAGGGATTTGGGCTTAGGGATTTCGAGGTTTCGGTGTTTAGCAGTTTAGGGATTTGGTTTTGGGTTTCGGGTTTTAACGGGGTAGCGGTGTAGAGCTTTGGGTTTAGGGGTGGACTGAGGAGGCGTGGGGTTTAGTGCGTTTGGGTTTTGAGTTCAGGGGCTTAGGGGTTATGGAGTTTGGGGTTTAGGGGTTTAAGGGGTAGGGGTGTAGAGGTTTGGGCTCGGGGGTTTAGGGGTTTCTTGGATTTGGGGTTTAGGGGGTTCAAGTTTAGGGGTTTAGTGATGAAGAGGTGGTGGGCCTGACTATGACCATGACTACTACCACAGTATTACTCCTACTAATGCGGTTATTACTATTGTTGTTGTCGTTGTTGCTTTTGTTCTCATTCTTGTTTCGATTTCAATCAGTATCTCAAACGCAGCTGTTGTGAGTTTTTGCATTCAGTGTTACGAGTACCCCTTGCCGTTGCCGTTATTATTACCAGCTATTGCAATTACTATGGTTTACGCATACTGCTACGGCCAGTACTACTGCGACCCCAGCCAGCCTGTCCCTGGCACCGTGTCTATCTCGTCCAACCCCCCAAGAAAACAAGATTCCCCAAACATCAACACCCCGTATCCATAACCGTAAAATAACGACTTCATGTTTTAAATCGACACATGTGGCTGGTTTCGCACTTCATAACCATAGTTGCAGACCTCCGCGAAAAAAGAGTGCATCGAACATCTTCGACAAGACAATGCATAACCTTACTTGAGCCGATGAACAACACCCTGTGCCAGGTCTCCTTCATCCTGTACATCATCGAGCTTCTTCTTGTTTTAACAAATTGGGAGCTTTTAGACTATTTTTTCAAACTTCTGAAAACTTTTAAAATTTTCAAAGGTTTGTACAAAAGTTGAAAAGCTTTTAGAAACTTTTAAAAACTTTAAACAACTTGTAAAACTTTTCTTGGCTAAAAACCACATATCAAACTTTGTTTGCTTGTATTTGTTTGGACGTGTCTTTATTTGTCCGGATTTGTCTATTATTGTCCTTTTTTGGCGTTTTTTTGACGATTATGGTCACTATTTTTCTTCATTTGCCTTGATTGCCCAAAAGTCCTAGGGTTTTACGTCCCCGTGATCTGGGTCACCGCAAATGGTCAATGACTTAACACATCTGGAGTCGAGGGAAGGTTGTGTTCGGATGCATGCAAGATAGGTGGGCGGAGGGACTTGCTTCAGTGAGACGCTTCTAAACACACTGTGTCTGTCCCTCGGCCCCTCCAAGGATGACCGGCATTGCCACGCTCCTCGGCTCGATTTGAGGTGTCAAGCTGGATGTTGCGAAATTCATGCCGTTCTTCATCAGAGCCGCTGAAAGCATGCCGAGGCAGCATGGGAGACACTGTGATGGCTTAACTTCTTGCTACTATGTAGTTGTGTTAAGCAACTACTGTACAACGCATGGTTCCCTGTTGTGAGCTGGTTGCAACATATTGCAACAAGGTACTCGGTGGCGCAGTGTCATGCTGTTGCCGGGCGAACAAGTGCTGCCGTACAGGCGCCGGCTGTTCGTGGTGTGGATCGGTCAGAAGATCGCGTTTGTTCGTGCCGTTGAGATGAGAATTCCACTCTCTGGTACCCAGCGGGAAAATCAAACCCGTAAGCAGCAGCTTCGACCCCGTTACCCTGTGGCGGACCTCCGGATCCCGGTTACCGCCCAGTGGCTGCAGGCGGCCACGGAAGCACGCAATCTTTTTGCGCAGACCTGGGACAGGCCGGGGCCCTTGCTCCTGGCCTCCTCCCAATAAAGGCCCTTTCCCCTGCAATCAGGCAGGGTGAGGCCATGGCCATCCTGATGCTGGGCGAGAGCTCGGTCTTGGATGGCGACATCCCTCGCGGCCGGGAGTTCACAAAGGCCCGGTGCAACGCTCCGTGGCGGTCGTTTCGGAAGGTCGACAGGCACGGATTGAAGCTCTTTTTTGGTTGATCGGTTCGCTCGGATCTTGTCCTGGTGCCCCCGCCCCTCTGCGGCTGTGCCAACGGGAAGGAAGCCTCTGAGCTCTTTGCCAGCATCAGCGACTTCGAAGGGGTGGAGAAGGCGTCAGATTCCTGCATGTCCACTGCAACGTAGAAGCCCTGGGGATCCTGTCCAGACTCTGCCATGTCAATGCCCTCTCACGTCGTGCAAACGTGTGCAAACAAGCTCTCCAGCCTGTCATCCCGCTTCGAGCATGGTATGTTGCTCTGGGTCGACGAGGCAAGTCAATAAATTTGGGGCAACTTAGGGGTGCCAACCTGGTTGCCGACACGTCATGTTTGAGGTAAAGGTTGCTTGTGTCCAGACCTCTGCAGGCGCAGCGGACACTTCAGCAAATCGACGAGATCGCTGTGTCACAGGCCTGTCCATCCTGCGTCATTTGTGCCGCGAACTCCTGCTGTACTATCTCAGGACGAGTACCACTTGTTCTATGAACCGCCGCTTGAGTTTGAATGCTCAGGGCACCAACGTCCCGGAGACGAAGCGAGCTGAGCCGGAGGCTGGGACTGCAAAGCTGCAGCAAAGCTCCCGGAAGTTCAGAGGCCCTGCCTTTTTGCAGGCCGGACCCTCGCCCTCGCTCGTTGTCTCAAAGCAGCCGCAGATGACGCTTGAGAAGGTGCAGCTACGGCACTGCCATGAGATCCTTTCATGTGGTTTCGGAGCGTTTCTCAGGCCCTGCTTTCTGACGTAGAGTGCAGATTAGGGCCGTTCCAACAGTCAACACCTCCTGCACCTCCAGCCGTAGAGGCGAAACAGCTCGCGATGAACATCGCTGTGGAGGCTCGGCCTTCCTGTGATTTCAGCCTGCTTTTGTTACGGCTAGACTGCTTGGGCTTGCACAGGAACAAGCTGAGCAGCGAATGCACAGCTGGGGCTGTAAGCGAAGCCATGTCAGGCCGTCGGGTCCGAGGAGCCGATCGCCTTCGATGCTACACGGGCTGCACTCAGGGTAGGGGGGGTTGAGGCGAAAACAGAGCGGACAAGAGGATGCCCTCTGTGGCAGTGTGCTCGTGCGAGAGGCAGCTTTGAGCTTCTGAGGATTCCCTGATGGACGTCGGCTTAGACAGCCGGGCTGCTCAGAGACTGAGGCAAGTTGAAAGACTTCTGATGATTCGTAGATGGCGAGCGCCTCGGCTATCGCTGTAACTGAGGCCTGGCGGCCATCTCCTTCCGCGAGACGCTGGCGCGGGAGTGTGGCCTGAAGCTGTGCCATGGAAGCACTTGGCGAAGCACTTGGCGGACTTGGCGGACGTGCAGAAAAGGCCTCGCTCCTTCAGGCCGTCCACCCTGATCTTCGACTACCCGAACTTGAACGCGGTTGCCGACCTCATGGTAGAGTCGAGCGCAGTGCAACCCGGCATGGAAGATATCGGAAGACTGCAATGAGCGTGTCTCATGGACGGGCGTTCTCTGCGCACGAAGCATGAATCCCTTGCCGTTTTTCCCTCGACTCTCCATCCAACGGTGCAATACGGTGCACGGTTGCCAACAGTGAAGGATGCCCGCATATACTTGAGGTAGAAGCAGAGGGCGGGCGACTCGCTCCAGATGCTTCCATCTCGACGGGTTCCGGGCTGAGGGAGTTGATCCCCTTGTTATGCTAGCTGGTTCAGCCGTTCAGGCAGGGCTAGAAAACTTGATGTGATGGCCTTGGGCGAGTGCATGCCGCTTGTTTGGGCCCCGTTGTTCAAGTTTGTTGGGAGACTGCTTGATGGGATGCAAACTTTAAAGACAGATTTGCTGTGCAGCTTTGGTTTGCATGATGCACCTGACCTCTTCGAGTCCAAACCGCTCCAGGCGCATCTTCAACCTGAGAAGCTGCCTGTCGTAGGAATTCAGTCGCAGCTGTCATCAGCGAGTCTTCGCAGAACGAGTGCCCATACATATACAACTCATATACAGTCCTCCCGGGCGCGCAGCCCATCAAGACGTAGACGCGCGACCGTTTTGGACGCCAGCAAGAACAGAACACTTCCATGGCACATCGAGCGCCTGACCTCTTCCGCATCTTAGCAGCGGCTGTGTCGGAGGAAAAGTCTGCGCAGAGGTTGCATTCATCTCAATGTCCAGTAGCCTTAGAATCCCAGCTTCGACCTTGCCCAAACTTAGATGAGTTTTCCGCACCACGCATCCAGACAACCATGTAATCCGAAGCCCGGAGCTGGACAAGGTTCAATTAGTTGCCAAGGGGATCAAAAAGCCGAGACGACCAAGTTGAGAAACTCGCCGTGAAGGCTGTCATTGCTGTTCTCCTGCTCGTTATCATGTCATCTGCAAGAGCATTCCTACTTGCTTCCCTGCGAAGTTATGAGGATGCTGTTCTGTCCCATCCCTTGCCCCGCTCACAAACTACCGAGTTAAAGCAAGTCCCGTCGCCCAAAGTCTCAGACTCAAGCCTTTCTGAAACTGTTTACTGCGAGCTTGGCCAGTTCTGATGGGTCCTTGGGGTGCTTGCTGCTACAGCGACGCGCAGGGCTCCCAGGGAGCAAGGCTTTCGGCCTCTACGACTTCCTGCAAGCGTGGCAGTGCTCGTGTGTTCTGTAAGCTACCTACTACTCTCATCCGCATCAGCTCCTGAATGCTCTCAAGCCTTGAGGATCCTGCGGCAAAAATCTAGACATCAAGACTGGTATCGAAGTGTCAGAAGCGGTCATGGTCTATGTCTGGCAGATGAGGCCTCCGGGCGTCATTACGTCCACGCTCCACGACATCGCAGACATGCTAAAAATCGCCGCCAACCATCGGACGCGCAGGTGCTTTTTGAAGCAGGTCTTGCATCCGGGTTATCTTGCCAACTTCAGGGGTTCTGCTTGACACGTGGCAGCATCATTCATGAAGCTGCGAAAGTCGAAGAAAGACACTGAACACCTGCTATTAGGTATTACAGGCTATCTCTAATGCATTTCTGACAGCCCTGGGCGAGGAAAAACCTGGTCAAAACCTCTCGCATGAAGTTCCTCCCGCGGTCACAAGAATCAGTGGAACGATGCGGCCTTAGCAAAAGCCCGACATTTTTGCGTCGCTGGTTTGTTAGATGGAAGTGGCTCTTGGCCCAAAGCAAACAGCGGCTTCCAAGGCCTCCATGCGAGCATCATCGGGCGAAGCCTTGGCCCCTCCTTTGCCAATGTGTCTGGCTCCTGGCATGCAGTGCTGCAATACTTGCCTGGGCGCTGGTGGATCATTGTTGACAGTTCTATTCAGAAACTTCCTGAGGGTCTGGCAGCTGTCATAGAGAAAGCTTTGTTGTGGTGCCGCCGCCATTCTTGTTGGTGTTCGAAGCCAGCGCAGATGTCACAAAGCTTTCCTTGGGACGACAGAAAGTCTGCAGCAGACTCTCCGAAGGGCGTGCACTGCTGTATTCTACAGGGTCAAGCTTAGCCTGACTGAGGCTGCTACTGACCAGAGTTCTTATGGCCTTCAAGGAGGCCAGCTACACAGCTACACCTTCCAAGTGGTAGGATTGTGCAGACGCGAGGCCAATCTCGTGAGATTTTTGCCAAGCCGCGGCAGGCTCTTCATCACAGCTGCATCGAAGCTGTGCTTAAACATCGCACTGGCGCGGGCCCCCGATTCGAGCCTCCCTCGCGACGCCGCGACGCCTCTGTCTCCACGGCTTTGGGCTCTGAGGCCGCCTCCGCGCCGAAGTCGCGGCGCCAGACTTGGCGGCCGCAGAGCGCAGCTTCCGGGCCTGGCTCGTCGCTCAGAGGGCCTGGAGGGTCCGCGGGGCGCGGGCCGTCGCGGTTGCCGTCTCAAGTCCGCATATCACAGTTTCGTTTCTCGACAAGACAGGCGATCCGTCACGATGCTGTGCCAATCCCATCGGGCCATGGAGTCCGAGATTGTGCGAGGTTGGGTTGGTGCAGAGACGAGGGGGCGGGTTCAAGATGGGAGGCGTCTCGAGTGATCTCAACCCGAAAGTGGTTAGATGGTTTCAGAGGTGAATGTTTGAAAGCGTCTAGAGTCTAGTCACTAGTCAAGTCATGTTCCGGCTGCGGTTGGGTTCAACAGAGGTTGGGGGCATGCTCCAGAGGGTGTAGGAGGAGTCTGAACATCAGGCTGCCTGGACGGGTTGTCCTCAGGCAGTTGGCCGAATGCTTTAGGTGTGCTTGCTCCAGGAAGAGCGGCGCTGGTGAATGTTTGGAGCAAGGCGCAGCCCCGGAGCGTGTGGTTTCACAGTTTGGCCGGAAAGTGTGGCGCGCCTCCTCAAACATCTCCAAACGCCGGCTTACCAGCACCGTGTGTTGTGTTGCGCGCTGGTATGTGGTGTACCGAAAGTGTATTGTGTTGATACAAGATTATGTGTATGATGCGGTGGAGAATATCCGCACGCTCCCCTAGGGCCGAGAAGACCTCGGCCGTGCTGTGGATCGCCTCAGCGCCGGGGGGCCCAGGAAGACGCATTCAGTCTGGGTAAGGAGAGATAAGGAGCTGGTCGGGAAAGAGCTCGACAGGAGAAGAGGATGAGGTGAAGGGAAGGGGCAGGTGCACGTATGTGCACGTTCACGTTCCCCATCGCCAGGCTCGGCTCCTCGTGGAGACTTTAGAGCTTTCGTTTCTCTCCTGGCGGGATGCAGTGACGGGAGCCCAGCCATGCCCAGCCTGCTGTGCTGCCACCGAATGTTCTGTGTAATCGTGAGTCCTGCACCACTGTCGCCGCAGCACACAGTGACATCCCAATTCTCTGCTTCCTGTGAGGCGGCTCTCGAACTTGGAGAGCTATGCCAACCACCTCTGCTCGCAGCGCCAGAGGCCCGTGCAACATTCGACGATGGTGCGAGAGGTTGAGGCTGAAATCATGTGCTGCTTGCTTTTCTTGCGAGGACGCCGGCCGTGTTGCAGAGAGTGACCCTTTTGGCGGATGAGGCCCTCAATTGGGCCATGTGCCAGTGCAGGGACAAACGTAGAATTCGAGAACTTCTAGCACGCTGCAATGTATGTTTTGATGCAAAGCTTAGATGGCCGAAGCACTCGCAGGCCTTTCTCCTGCCACGGTCCTAGGCGGCAATGCAAGAGAGTTTCATGGGGCGATGAGGCTGAACCAAACTTAGAGTCTCCCGTGCTCCTGTTGAGCGGCTTTTGACGGGCCTGGGAGCTCAAGGGTACGTGTACGGGCCGTAGACCCTCACGTTCGCCTGCATTAGCGACTCAGGTCTTGCCTGGTTTGCTGGGCCGGCTCGTGTGCGCTGCTTCGCCAAGGCAAGATGCCGGCTATCGCAGACGCAGGGGGGGGAGCCTAGGGGGTGCAAAGGCCCATGGGGTGCATCTCTCGTGTCCTTCGGAGTCCCTGCAGGTCGACTCCACAAGGCCGGGCGAGCCCGGTTTGGCGGGCGATCTTAGCTCTCCTTTGCTTCGCTGGCTCTTAGCTCTCCTTCAGAACACTTTGAAGCCCCGGACGCTGCTTGGAGGACACGGAGACGCGGCTGGCCGAAGCTTTGTGCTCGGCCGCCTCCCTGCCCGAGCCCCAGCGCAGACGGCGCAGACCCCAACAGAAGTGAGGGAGAGAGCGGCGACATGCCCGTGCCCGTCGCGGTCCAGGAGCAGCCAGCTCCAAAGAGAGGGGGCGAACAAGGCCAGGTCAAGCCTTGGCAAGTCCTTGAGTTCTTTCTTGACGGCCTGCCACGGCTTTGTGAGCTAGAGGCTCTGTTGCTACGAACGTTTATTGCTGATGGTGCCTGTGTGAGACTCACTGCAGCTGAAGCTCGTGGATGGTCGGGACTTTCGAAGCTTCTCACTTTTCCTTTCTGGATAGCTTGAGCCTGGGAGCACATTTGCCAGCTACGACTTCAGTCAGCTGCACTCGGCTACATGCGCTACGGCCTCAGTGTAAGTTGGGCTGTTGCTTTGCACACTTGTAGATACGGCATACCGTTTGTCTGAACAGCTGTGTTGGTCCTCTCCACAGCGATCCTTTCAAAGCGTGTGTATTGGTGTTTTGGGGGGTCCGGATGAACCTCCATGCCAGGTCTTTGAGCTTGAACATCCCAGGGAGACTACAGGTTCAGGGTATTGGGTGTTGGGGTCGGTTACAGCGTTACTGTCGAGCCTTGTCCGGGAGTGAGAGTCGAAACGAAGCTCGCAGCTTGTGAGCATGTGCAATTTACAGCTCCACTTGCGACTCGGAAGTGCCCAGGCCGTTCTGTCCAAGTTGAGCGGAGGTGCACAGGGAGGGCCGGGTCGGAGAAAGTGCTCGGACGAGTCTTAAAGAAGTGCAGGCATCATACACGATGAAGGTTTGCAGATGTTTGCAGAGTCGGCAAAACTTTCTTGTGACCCATGGGGTCAGTTTGCTCATGCAGCAGTTACTCGTACAATTGCAGCACTCAGCCAGCCTGGAGCTGCCGTGCTTGCCGGAAAAAAAATACCGCTTGGCTTTTTGGGGAAGCTCTCGCGGTTTAACCTCGTGTGCATGGTGCCGGCAACCGCAACACGCCTAAAAAATAGATGTTGTGCACCTGCTGACCGGGACAATCCGCCACAACAACTACCAGCTGAATATGACTTGCCGCCAGTCAACCAAGAAA